TGTTGTAAGGATTACATAGAGATCATTTAAAATGCTTACTATTAGGCCTGGCAATTAGTTAAGGCTCAATGAATGTTAGCTATTATATTAGATTCCAGCTCATTCCAAAGTAGATTTAAGGCAATTTCACATGTAATGTAAATTCAATAAAGATATATGTGAATGACCCAAAGGATCATTACTATGCAATTTAGACTTACCTTTGGGAAATTTCTTTTCAAGGGACTGGCCTAACAGAGTAAATGATAATAACTTAGTTATCTTCAATTGCTGTTACCCAATAATTCATAAACTTGCTAAAGACAATATTTCCTTTTTTTCCCTTTTTCTTTCTGTTTTAATCATTTACCCCATAGGAAACACCTGATTCTAGGCAACTGTAGAAGACTGATTAAATTCATTCAAATCACTTTTGAGCAATTAAAAAACAAAACAAAAACAGGTCCCCCATAACCAAAATTTAAGTGTGACCTTGAGAAACAGAATTGTGATATTATGATATATCTAAGATACATTTAAATTTTGCAGCTTAAATGAAAAAAAAAATCCATCTTCATTCAAAGTGAACCATCAAACCACACTGTTTAACTTTCAGTAAATAAACTACTTCTAATTACTACAATAAAAGTGCTTTAATTTTTTACATTATGTGTACATGTGTGTATATCCATCCCATAAGTCTCTGAGACTGCCAACTTATTATATTTCAAAAATTACAAAATCACACTAACTTCTACATCACTTTTATACTTTACAGAAAAAAAATCATTTTCTGGATTAAAATTCTTAATTACATGACTTATCATAATAACTTTAATAATACAAAAACATATAAGAAGCAGTACCTCAGTTTTATCTTCCATATTCTGGTTATGCTACGTAAATATGAAATTGTTATCCTTATTCAAATAACATTAGGTCTGACTTTAAAAAGTAAGTTTAGGACTTAGCAAAGCCTTACATTTAATAAGGAAAACTAGCAGCACTATCAAATTTTAAAGCCAAGTATCAGCAGTCACTTTCTGACAATATCTTGTGGGAGATTGTATTAGTAAATCCATGAAAGCAATATCAGACTACAGCAACTCAGAGCTCTTGGGTATATTTTTTATTCCATTAGTGTGGTGCTGCAAAAGATTACAAAATTTGTTTCTAAGACCAAAACATAACACAATTTATCCATGAAATTTTATTTCCATGTTTTAAAATGATAATCGTTTTACTCTTGTAAGTCTCTAGGTTTAAAGCAAGTATTACTTTGAGACCCACTGAAGTATTATGAAAATTCTCAAGAAGCTCAAAATGTAAGATTATCTGAGACAAGAATTACTCAATTTTCCAAAGTCACTCTGTCTGAAGCAAGTGATATTAAAGGTGAAATTCACAGGAAAATAGCACTGTTAAAAACAAACAAAAACAAAGAAAATGGAAAAAGCAGAGACAGATCAATTTAAACCATGGCTCTGGCATCTTCTGCTGGAAATTCCAGCAATTTAATTTTTCTGTGTTTAGTTAGTAAATTTACTTATATCTTTGGTGTCCTTAGCTAAAAAGTGTCAATAGTACCTAAATAATTGTTTTGAGGACAAAAATGAGATAACATTAGGGAAGAAGAAAGTCCATTGAAAAGTCTGTTCTACACCTATAATTTATAAACAATGTTATCTGTAAAACAAACAAACAAACAACAATAAAAACCACAACAGAAATAAAGTCTCCAAAATACTGTCATTAAACAGAAATTTTTCTGTAAATGAAAATGACTCCTTTGTCATTTCCACATAGAAAACTACCTATCTGGAGTTTCGAGATCTCCAAGAAAAAACAAACATCTTTCTACAATTTATATTCCAAATTTCAGGCAATAAATCCTTTCCATCTAACCTAAATTTCCTATGTTTTAGTTCATTTGAAAATTCTTATCTTTCAATTCTCCTTAGGTGGGAAGCATATCTGTTTTAGTCTTTTCTGTATTTCTGTCCCTAGCAGAGTTCTGGAGACACTTTGCATGAATATATTAATTAATTAATTAATTCATTCATTCATTCAGCAAATATTTATTCAACAGTTACTTTGTGCCAGGTACTGTAAGTAGTAGAGCAAGACCCATAAATGAGAAGGCTTTGCTCAGGTAACTTGCAGTTTAGTGAATAAGGTAAATATTTGTCAAATAGGTACAGAAGTAAATAAGTTTCTAATGTGGATGGCAAAAAGGTGCAGCGATGGTGAAGATCACAGTTTTGGGATGAAGACAGTCAAAGGTCAGGAATAGCTCCCCTGAGGTACAAGGTTTAAACTGAGACTTGAAAATTGACTGAAAGTTGGCCAGATTTTGTAAGGTAAGGGAATACAGACCAGGCAGGGAGATGAAACATATTAAAAAGCCCCCAAGTCAGGAAGGTAAATGAGAATGGTTGGGGATAAGAATGGAGTGCTGCATAAAGGACAGAAGATAAATTGCCAGTATTAATGAAAGTAAAAGGATTCATAACGTTAAATATTTAAGCCATGTTGTATTTTTCTCAAATAAAATAAATAATCTAAGGGAACTGAGTTTTTATTGCACAATATTAAAGTTCTATATTAGGTTATGACTTTGTCTCACCAATCACTGGACACATGACCTTGGACAAGACATTTGACCAACTTGAGCCTCTTCTATTCTCTGTAAATCAGTATCCAATTATTCTACCTACTGAGATTACAATAATAAACAACATATAGCCCCAGTTCTTACAGACTTTACATCCCTGAGAGAGAGGTGTATATGAAAGACAACCTAAGTCCTATAGGAGATGATATCAAAAAAAAAAAAAAAAAAAAAAGACACAAAAGTCTCCTGAAAGGTATCCACAAATGTGGACACTGGTGGGCTGTAAACCACAATAAAAACACAAGTTACACATCTTTCTGCAAACTCTAGCATGCGACTGAGGATGATATATACAATAGAAACATTACTCTGTCATCCCCAAACAAGCGAAATATCAAAACTATAATGAACCTCAGAGATAAAGAGAACTCAGTGGTAGCACTGAATTAAAGATTAAAATTAATGTACTCAGAACAAGTATTTTATATCAATTTTTCTTATTTCCAAATTTTCCTCTTAGTTCAAAAACTTGTTCCATCATCACATAACTACACGCCAAACTCATCTTATGCCTTTCCCAACAAAAGGCAATGTCTACATTGCCATCTAGAAAATACAATGATATTCTTGCTTTACCACTACTTACTCATGTCCAGTTTACAGTCTACCTAAACTACCACACCCTTTTTTCATCTAGCACAAAACTAGTTATCCCCACATTATTTTCCATTTGTTTAGCTGGCTCTTCCTTACTATGTACTACTTTACTTACGATGCTACATTTTTCCTGATTTTATTTCATTCTGTAGTATCATACCTCTCCTTGTATTTTAAGTCATATTAAAATCAAACCATATTCACAGCAGAATACCTGATCCTAGAAAATGTTTTTTTTTTCATTTTTAAGACAAATTGTTGATGATCTTAATAACTGAAGAGTACATTCAAAATACAACTTATAAAACAATACACCATGATTGATTTTCTGGTAACTATAATTTTATGCCTTTGTGTATATAAACTTATCACGAATAAATCTTGAGGTCAATGAATACATGCCTACAAGTCTATTTAAAAACTATCTAATAACACATTCAAGAGCTATAAAAATTCTAGAGAATAAGTCTAGAAAAAGTGCACTGCTTTCTGCTCAATAAAAAATATAAACATCATTGCTGTCTCTCTCACACATTCTGAAGTCAAGAAAATGAGGGAAAAATAGAATTCTGAAACAAAAAAATTTACCTCAATGTAATGCAACATGTCTTTTCTAATAATGGCACTATAAACTCTTCTTGATGTTGCATTGTTTGAAAACAAAATGTGTAAAATAACTTCTGTTAAGGAATTCCAACCCAACTGCTCTTGGTTTTACAAAATGAGTAAGGTAGGAAGAAAAAGGAGTATTATTTTAACTGCTAAACATTACCCACCCTTAAAAATGGTCTGTGGAAGTAGGCTCTCTAAGAAAAAAAATCTCAAATTCACTGACCCTTTCTTTTTATTTTTCTAAAAGGTTAGAATCCTTTAATGAGGAGGGAGTTTCACATCACTTTTTTAAAAAAACTCTTCACCTTACAAATGGCTTCTTAGAAATACATAAAATACTATTACTTTGCAACTTCCCCCACTCCTTCCAAAGAACACACTTTTTTTCTCAAGACAGCAGTTCTGGTTCAGAACCTGCACTCTGACTAGATTCAGAAGATCTGTCTCTGTGTGTGTGACCTTGGACACGTCATTTATTCCCTCAGTTTCCTCATCAGCATCCCAAAGTGAAAGCGTGGTGAGTATAGTTCAGGACTAAATATATCTTAGGTATTACACCTAAGAGGGTCAAGCTTTTCTGCTTAGGGACAGATTACCTCCTCAAAGGGGCCACATCTTAAAACTGGAACTGAATCCGTAGATTTGTCAACATTTGATTCTTCCTTCTTCAGCGCTCTTCTCCCCTCAAAGGGCATAACCCTGATCACCCCAAGAGCAGACTCCCAAGCACCCTTTCCTTCCTCCAGTCTTCCCTAGCCTGCTTATAAAGCAAGGGGGGAAACAGCAGCCTCACCTCTCTTCCCCCAAGCCACACCTTTAGGGGACCCCACCCGGGCACATCCGCCCTCTCCTCGCTCCCTGGGCCAGAGAGACCAACCTCGCCCTTCCCCTCCGCCCCCACCTAGAGGAGACTTCCTGGAGGCGTTCAGGCCCCAGCGGGGCAGGCGGCATTTACAAACCCGCTTTACGCCACTCGCGTAGGGTAACCTCACTTACGCCCATAGGGCCCCGCTCCCAGCCCCGTCCGCTCCGCCTTCCAGAGCCAAGCCTGAGTGTTTCAGCCACGGTCCCCGAGTGACCTGACCTTTTTTACTCGGTGCGGAGCTACGGTGATTAGGAGAGAACAGTCACACCTTACCGGCAACTGAGGCACTGACTTCACTTCCCACCTTTGGAGCCCTCTTCAACTCCCGGATCAATTCACTCCGGCGACGCCGGAAGGACCCGAGAGGAACCAGGCGTTGTCCGGAATCCTGCCCAGCCGGAGTCGCGCAGCGCTCTATGGGGACTCGTAGTCCCGTTCGCCGGCGTTACTAGCAATTCCTGCACTCGAAAGACTACACTTCCCGGCAAGCCGAGCGGCGGAGCCCAAGGCGATGGGTGGGGACACTGCTAGCCAATAGTAAGAGAGTTCCCTGCCTTTGCGGGAGGAGGTGAGATGAAGAGAGAGGGTGCTCAGAAAAGAGGGGAAGGGCGGGGCCAGCTCTCACCTGCGCCAATCGGGGCGCACTGTCAGCCCCGCAGGCGCCTCACCCATGGAGGGGCTGGGCTAGCGGAGCAGAGGAAGGAAGAGGGTGGGGGGCCCGACGCGGGGAACGTGGGGCAGCTGGGTTGAGTGAGCAACGCCGGGGGAGAGGAAGCCTCAAGGAACTCGCTGGTGTGGAGGGAGGGTGTGGTGTGGGGACGCGCCCCAACCGAAAGAGCAGCTTCCTACGAGCAGCAAAGCCCCAAGCACACCAAGCAACCAGACCCACGGACTGGGGAGGGATAGGCTGAACCTGGACTCCCTGCAGGGGCACCTAGAAGGGGCGGCCAACTCCAGGTGTGAGGCCACTGAGTGTGGGGAGAGGGGGCCCGCTGAGAAAGGGAAGAGGCAGAGCTGCTGCACAAGTGCAGGGAGCGGGAAGCTACACCGGCCACCGGCTGCCGCTTCCCGCCGCCTCCAGCATCGGCAGCAGCAGGAACAGCAGGGGGAGGAGCAACAGCTGCCAAATTCGCCAACTGGAAGAGGGGGAGGCGGAGCTTGAGTCCCAGTAGAAGCTGAAGCACAGCCTGGACTGTAGTTTCCCGGGAGAGACCAGAGCAGGAACAAGAGCTGAGTGGAGTGCAGTCTTCTGAGCATCAGCTCCCGCATCCCGCCAGGGGTTGAAGGTGTGTGGGAGGTAAGCGTGGGTGCTTCTTCTCGGCGTCCGCACACTGCCCGGGAGAAAGCACCTAATAGGAATTGTATCAAGGCACAGCTAAAACAGTCTGCGTTGGGTTAGAAAACCGGTACAGTCCCCTTCGGGTGAACGATGTACATTTTTGGACTTTGGGCGGCCGGGGGTGGGGTGTGCAAAAGGTATCTTGACCCTGAGTATAAAGGGCGTGGCTAGTGTTTTTGGTTTGAGTTGCACCGTTAAAACTGTCTGGGAGATCTCAAGATTGAGGGAAATCCTGCTAATTGAGGACAAGGTGGATGATATCTGGATAGGTGCGTAGCTGTTAAAAAGCAAGAATTGTGTCTTTGATATAAAATTACTTAAGAACTATTTCAAAATAACTTTGCATTCTTCTTCGGTGTCTATTCTTCACATTGATTTTAAAGATTATTCTGCTTCCGACCTGTTATCCAGGGTGGTTGTATTGCAGGTCCCTAGAATTGCAAGAGGTCAGGATTAAAGAAGCAAATGTAAGCAGGAATAGGATAGGATGGATTCTGACTGAACCTATCATAAGTATAACTTTTGCCAGCAAAAACGTGAAAATATATTTTAATGGATAGATACTTAGCTTTCTTTCTAGTGGCTCTGGGATATTGAAACAAAGACCTGGACTCAGCCTACAGTGGGAACATATGGTGTACTTCATTGCTGCTCCTTATTCTCTCATTTCTGTCCGGTAACATTTGTACATTTTTAAAAACATGAGTATAAGGAAAGCTGTGTGAGGATCTTTCCTCTGTTTAGACAGTATATGTTAAATGATTACTCTTAGTATGTGTTATAATGGGCTCCAATTTTAAATAAAGATAGCGTCATAAAATAATACTCTTCGTATTAAACCATGTGTGTATTCCTTTGGATGTAATTATGGTACCTATCAATGGAAATGTTAGGTCAACATGAAAGTCTCACCAGCCTTTGTTTCACTATGTCAGGATTACAGCGTTTTCTTATTAGAAACTTGGTAAGAATCCATTTGTCTACTTTATTTTAATTTTCTGTTTATTACAGAGTTCCCTAGATTATAGGGCTTTTAATCATAGCATATTGCTGCATATTTTGTTTTGAAATGCCTTCATTGTGACAATTGAATATTTCAGAGTCTGAATATTTTAATTTTGATTTTTTTACTAGATTCAATAAGATAGTCATTACCTTCTGTATTAATGCATTCTTGATTAGGATTTTGGATTTTACTTTTGTATATACACATAATTCCTTTTTGAAAAGAAATGGCTCAAAGGTATTCTCATAGCTTAAAGTTTAGTTCCACTGAGTGCTACTATGAATAAGTTTAAGTAATATATCAGTGTACATTCCTCCTCTCCCATGTTCTTAAACACCAGAGGAATACACAGATAGACAAATCTTAGAAAAACTGCTACTTTTAGATTGTCTTCAAGCAGATCAGGTAAGTATTAAAAGCTGCAAAGAGGTTAAAAGAAAGAAAAAGCAACAGTAGCCACTAAACTTAGCAGCCAAGGCAAGGATCACATTGTATCTTTGCTACATCACTAGAGAATATATTAATCCAAATAGCTGATGTGACCTTGTGAAAATGATTTGGGGGGAAAAACCACTAGGGCTTTGGTGAAGCTTGGGAAGTTGTGTATGCTCTTATTTATGATGAAGTGTATTGTCCTGAATCAGAGTCTTAGATTCTCCGGCTTTAGAAATGGAATACTTGCTGTCACTAGGTTATATCCCAACCCATGTAATAATAACAGTTAATTATAGTACTAGCAATAAGTCTTGTTGAGAATCAATTAATAAACAAGCAAATGGGTAGAAGATGATTTGTAACAAAACAATTGAAATTCAGATATACTTTGAATCTGAGCTTTGTTTGTAGGTCTTCTTCTCTAAGGTATCATAAGACTAGAATCTCATTAGGAATGAATGAGTTTGTGGTATGAAAGTGCCAAGTTTTCTTGTTTTTAAGATTTAGATCCTTTTAAGTGTGTCAATGAAAGAGACTGGGTTTCTGTATCATTAAGGAGTGAGAAGACCCTGTTTTTTGTGGGAGAAAATCGTTGGCTGTTTGTTACCTGGATTCTTTTCACTCACTTAAATTGGTGTTCACATTCAATCTCAGATAATCTGAAGACTTTTCTTGATTGGTGTTGAGAAAGCACATTAATTTTATGCATAATACTCCCTGTTTGAAAATCGTATTATTTATTGGGCTCTTAAGTTTTACTACAGATGTAAGGCTGTCAGTGAATATATGATGAGAAAGAAGCAACACAGTGCAGAATATTTCTCTTGAATGGAAATTGCTCTGGAGATGATTGTTCTCTAACCAAAGACTTGATAATTTCAAATTACACTATATTTTGGACTTTTCTATAAATTTAAAATTCTACTTTAAAGCCTATTGAGTAAAAAAATAATCGATAGCATGGATTTTTAACAGAATGATTCACTGATGCATGTGACACAAAAGAGCATTTCTTAAAGGTTCAAGACCGAATGATTTTGGTGCAGTGAAAGACAGGGATAGATATGAAGAAAACTACCTTTAAAAAGTACCCTTAACCAGAGAGGAAAAAGTTTTTGCTATTTTTTTGTTAAATACTTATAAGTGATAATATGATCTTTCCCTCTCTATCATTAATTTCTGTATCCATAGTGCAGATGTTACTTTTCTCCAGTTAAATACACTGAAGTCAAGACATTAGTTCATTAGAATTTGAGGACACATATATTATTAAAGTATAAAAGATTATGTACATTGACAACTATCCTTTGGACAAAATTTTAAAAAGAAGCAAAAACTTAAATGTTGTTTTATCCTTTAATAAAAGTTACTTGAACTAGCCAATAAAGATGAATAAAAATCTGTTTATTTACTTATTTATGCAAATTCCTAAGGTTAAATCCTGCTGAGCAGATTTCTGTTGTTATATTCAAATAAGAGTTTTGCTTTGTTTTTCAGTCTTACCTCTAAGGTTTCTAGAATTTAGTTCTTACAGTTTGGTATTTGTGTTTTAGGTGACATGATTATTAGTGCCTGAAGACCATGTACTTCTTTTCTGTCTCCCATTGATCCTTAGCCTTATATCATGCTCAGCATTAAGAATTTGCTTTGTAAGAATAATGCTTAATGAATTAGCATTATTGGCCAATACTTTTTAATGTGCACATTAAATACTTTGATACACAAGATTCAGTGTACCTCAAAGAATGATTATTGGATATTAACTCTTCTGAGAATGTCATTGTTTTAATTAGCTTTGCAGAAATGTTATTTAAGCCCAGTTTGATTTAGACTGTATGGGCTGCAAAGATTTATCTACAACTTTGTGTGTCAGGGTTTCTAAATTCATCCCAGAGGTAAGGGATGTGGGTGAGGAGAAAGGGCCTTCCTATCAGAGACCCCTAAGTTCTTCACTTTATAGCTAGGGAAGCCCATGGCTCACCTCTGTTTAACCTTACATCCCTGGAGACATACCTTTGTTGATGTTTATCTTTAAAAAATTATTTTATTATAAAAACTGAATTCTTATTTTTCTAACCACTGCCCCCCCACCGATTAAAAAAAAGAAGAAAAGAAGTCACACGAATTTTGTTCAAAATGCATAGAGTTGGGCATTTATTGGTTTTGATTTCACATTCCAGAAACAAATTAATCTGATTAGAGTTAAAATTAAAAATTCAGTATGAATTTTCTTTTATTACTTAACACCTGGACAATTCTAGTTAGTTCTAAGTAGTTGTTAGTAATAAAATTAATTATAGCAGGAATTTAACTGCCTTTTGCTTTGCTTTTTAATATTTTTACTAACATACAGATAGATGTGACTTATCTTAGATCTAATGATTACTCTTCTTTGTCTTCCTGTTCCTTTGGCATTATTCTTAATGGTTAGCACTATGTTTTGTGTCTTAGCTGAGTTCATAATTATCTTCCTGGTGTGTGTGTGTGTGTGTGTGTGTGTGTGTGTGTGTATATATTTTAAAGTTTCCCTGACTTTATATGTTGAGAGCCTTATACAAAATCTGAACTTGGTAGATGGTAACTATTTGTTCAGCTATTTGGCAAGCTATAATGAAGAATCATTTTACAAACAAGTATAACCATAAAAAATGAATTTTTCTTAGACAAATGTTTTATATTACCGGATTCAGCCCTCTGCCCACAACAGTTGCATATTGAATATATAAATATTGTTCTCTGTTGTTGGATTTCTGAATGAGTAGAGCAAATATTGTCATTAACTATAACCTTGCATGTGTGTTTTAAATGTGAATTTATTCATTGACTACCTTTTGCATTATGTGTGGTTCATTTTCTCTCCTTGCTTGTAGAATTCTGCTGTTTTAAAAATGTTCTTCTAAGTAACACTTCCCCCTCACAGACACTCTATGACTTTTTTTTCCTAACATATAGAAATAGAGGACTTCCAGAAAAATAGATAAATGTAACATGAGGCTTTATCTTAACTACTATTTAACTCGTCTTCAGTGTTCTGATTTTAGTGACATTCTTGCTTTTGGGGTCTTATTAAGGCTTATTAAACCTGAATTACATCGTACTTGTTATCTTTGAGCCCTGTCAGGGAAAGAATATGTTTTGAGGGTTGGAATTAACTGTGTCCAGTGCTGTGTTCTGTACTATTTAACTACTGAAGCTTGCCTGGCTCCTAAGGCTGCAGCCTCTGCTTTGGGGCCCCCTTCTGGTGTAGCCTGGGAAAGGAGCTTCTGAGCATCTCAGAGCTCTTAATTTAGTGTGGCAAGGCAGGAGGTTGAAACTCACTTTCATTTAATAACCTTATTTTCCTAAGTGTATTATTTTCCCCAGGTAACATTTAGTTCCAGAGTTACCAGTAATAGGAGCTCAAATATCACAACATGATTTCTAAAGCACAGTCTGACAATTCAATGAGTAACTCTCAGCTCCTCTAACATCTTGGGTTTGTTTGTTAATTAATTTATTTATTTTTAAAATGGAACTC